ATGACCACACTTCCCCATAATTTGGTGTTGTGCATGAACTTAGCCAGTCTGCTTCTCACACCCAAATCCAGATAATTTATGAATATATTAAAGAGTGCTGGTCCAAGTACTGAGCCCTGGGGGACACCACTCATCACCATGTGCCATGTTGACTCATTTCCATCGATTATCATTCTCTGGGTCTGACCATGGAGTCAGTTCCCCAGCCATCGGACAGTAAGGTTGTTGAGGCCACAGTTCTCCACTTTTACCATGAGAACATCATGGGAGACCAAGTCAAGGGCTTCTTTAAAATCTAAATATATGACATTGACCTCTTCTCCTTTGTCCAGGTGGTGTGTTACTTGGTCATAGAAGGAAATGAGGTTGGTCAGGCAAGACCTACCCACAACAAAGCCATGCTGGCTCTCTCTCATAATGTTGCCTTCCGTTAGCCTGTTGTTGATGGTTTCTTTGATTTTTTTCTAAGATCTTTCCAGGGATTGAAGTCAAACTGATTGGCCTGTAATTCTCTGGGGGAGTGGGAGACAAGTGAAGGTCTGGGGGCCCCCCAGGCCTCCTGTTGTCCCACCACCTGGCCCAGACAGGTCCACTCTCCCCACCCCCTGCTCCTGCCTGTGCCCCTCTCCATCCCTGCCCGCTGGGGATCTGCCCCTGCCCCTCCCCTCCCCTCCCCACAGCCCTTTCCCCTTCCCCTGCCCCTTCCCCGACAGATTTACCTGCTGGGGGTGGCAAGCTCCCAAATAATTTTGTTCTCCCTCGACCTCAGTCTGCATTCCCCCCGACAGACTGACCTATGTGGGGAGGAGGGGGTGATGGTATAAGATAGATCTTGGGTTGCTTTTTAATTTAAAAATTTATCTCCTACCCAACAAGGCTGGAGACCACTGGTCTAGGGACATAGGCAGACAAGGTTCTTTGGGTAAATCTGATATATTTTATTAGACCAACTCAAATCATTGGAAAAATTCTTCTTTGCAAGCTTTCAGGTATAAATACCCTTTGTCAGGCTGAGGAAGCATCTGCAGTTGATGTGTGGTTTTCCTGAATGGAATGAATAGTAAAGGAGCCAGAGGCTGGTATGCATGCAAGAAAGGCAGTCAGTGAAGATGTAAATTGACGAGTCAGTAGGTGAGAGACAGGCCTGAGGCAATCTGTAATCTTGGAATTTTGATTCAGACATTTAGTGTTTTTAAAGAAATATAAACAAGGCCTTAAATTCTGAATGGTTAGGAAGCCTCATTATTATAAATGCTGTCATTATTTTGTAAAAGTTAGTGAAAATTTTGTCTGGGGTTCTGTTTTGTTTTATATCTTTCTTGCTTTCCCAGATGCTGCAACCCAGAGCTAGTGCCTGAGAATCTGCTGGAGATTATTTCCATTCTGTACAATTGTGTGACATTCTAAAAACAAGCAGCAGGTAAATTTGATTTTAAATTCCTTCACTATAATCATTAACTTACTCTCTTTACTCTCAGAGGAAACTTGCAGATGTGGATTTTTAATTTGACACTGACCTTTTAAACCCACATATGTTTATTTTCCATTTTTTTAAAACAGTCTCTCTGCAATCCTGGGTGATATGCTCTCTCTGGATTTTCATTAGGTTCTTTGAGCCCTGTGTTGCTCCAGTTGGTCACTATAGTCTGTCCACTGAGACTGTAAAGGCTCCATTTCAGTAATTCTCTTTTCAATTGAAATATGCGATGCCACCTGAGGTTAGATAATATGCTGAAAACTCACAGAGCTTCAGGATCCCATTGCAGAGGTTTTAAAATAGTTGGCAGCCTGTATTATAATGCTAAATGGCTCCCACCATGCTGCTTTGACTCTTCTTTCTATATGAGTTCAGGTACTTTTACCCTGTTCATGTTAAAATGTGAAGATGCATTGTATCATCCTTCTGACAAGACTGTAGGTCCCTCTGGCCACTCCTGACAAATAATTAAATGAAAATGAAAGAGCCAAATAAACTAAAACAACACAGGCAATGATCCTCTGTCACCTTCTCACTAAACTTGGTTTTAGTCCCATTAAAGCCAATGGAAACCTATACATTTGCTTCGACGTGTTCCAATTAGAAGGCTCCAGCATGCTGCAGCATTGCATACTTTCAGCATCCCACATTTAAAAATGGCGGTGGGGGTGCTTTAACTAAAACTAATTGAATGAACTTTAGTCAAAACAGCCCTGCTGCCATTTTGAAATGCAGGACATTGAATACACCTGATGCTGGTGTTTTAATTAGAGCAGCTGTCCGGGAGCTGCTCTAATTTAAACAACCCTTCCAGCATGCGTCTAGACACCCGTTGGGACCACCCATGTGTTCAAGTGTTTTGCTGAATTTGAATCTTCTGCAATGGTAGCTCTCATCTGGTGGCTGCAGAGGGTGACAACGGTCTGGTCTACAGAGACAGACATGGGGATTGGGAGGTTGGCTGGACACCCTGCAGGATACGCTGGGCAATCTGGTGGTTGCGTCAGAGGAGAAAGCGGACCTCTTTAACCAATTCTTCACCTCCGTTTTCTTGTGCAGGGACCGGGACTTCCCTGCTGTGATAGAAGCCGGACTCGAGGGGATCGCCTTCAGACCTCAGGTTGGGGAGGACCGGGTTAGAGAGCTTCTGGAGGGGCTGGACGCGTTCAAGTCAGCGGGTCCGGATGCTCTCCACCCCAGGGTGTTGAGGGAGCTAGCTGGGGTTATTGCAGGGCCCCTGGCACGGCTCTATGAGCGATCGTGGTGCTTGGGCCAGGTGCCAGATGATTGGAAGGTAGCAAATGTGGTCCCCATCTTCAAGAAGGGGAAGAGGGAGGACCCGGGCAACTATAGGCCCGTCAGTCTTACCTCAATCCTGGGGAAACTCTTTGAGAAGATCATCAAGGAGCACATTTGTGATGGGCCGGCATCAGAAATGATGCTCAGGGGCAATCAGCATGGATTTATTAGGGGGAGATCATGTCAGACCAACCTGATTGCCTTCTACGATCAGGTCACAAAGGCCATGGATGCAGGTGTCGCGGTGGATGTAGTCTTTCTGGACTTCAGCAAGGCCTTTGACACCGTCTCTCACCCCATCCTAGTTAAAAAACTAGGCGACTGTGGCATAGATGCCTACACAGTCAGATGGATTGCAGATTGGCTGAGGGGTCGCACTCAGAGGGTGGTGGTGGATGGGTCATATTCGACCTGGGGGGAGGTGGGTAGCGGAGTCCCCCAGGGCTCGGTCCTGGGGCCTGCGCTGTTCAATTTCTTCATCAGCGATCTGGATGATGGGGTGGAAAGTAACCTGTTTAAATTCGCTGATGACACCAAAATTTGGGGGGAGGTGAGCACGCTAGCAGGGAGTGAGAGATTGCAGAGGGATCTGGATAGGTTACAGGGGTGGGCTAACAGGAACAGGATGCGTTTCAATACGGACAAGTGCAGGGTGCTGCACTTGGGCAGTAGGAACCAGCAGCACACTTACACAATGGGGAACTCCCTACTCGAGAGCACGGAGGCAGAAAGAGATCTTGGAGTCATTATTGACTCCAAGATGAACATGGGCCGACAATGCGAGGTCATGGTTGGCAGGGCTAACCGGACCTTGTCGTGCATCCACAGGTGCATCTCGAGTAGAGCCAAGGAGGTGATCCTCCCCCTCTACGCGACGCTGGTCAGGCCACAGCTGGAGTATTGTGTCCAGTTCTGTGCGCCACATTTCAAGAGGGATGTGGACAACATGGAGAGGGTCCAGAGGAGGGCCACCCGCATGATCCGGGGACAACAGGGCAGACCCTACAGTGAGAGACTGCGGGACCTGAACCTATTCAGCCTCCACAAGAGAAGGCTGAGGGGGGACCTGGTGACCGTCTATAAACTCACTAGGGGGGACCAGAAGGGTTTGGGGGAGACGCTGTTTCCCCTAGCGCCCACTGGCATAACAAGAAGCAATGGGCACAAGTTGATGGAGAGGAGGTATAGATTGGACATCCACAAAAACTACTTCCAGTTAGGGTGGCTAGGAGCTGGAACCAACTTCCAAGGGAAGTGGTGCTGGCCCCTGCCCTGGGGGTCTTTAAGAAGAGGCTGGATGCCTACCTGGCTGGACTCATTTGAGTCCCGTTTTTTGTTTTGGGGTTTTGTTGTTCTCCCACCCTGGCGGGGGGTCGGGCTAGAAGATCTACTAGGTCCCTTCCGACCCTAAATCTATGAAACTATGAAACTAAGCCTTCCTGCGGCATCAGGCATTATATGCTGAGACACCTGTCAGATTCCAAAATGAACATGTGAATTCTGCTAAATGCCTTGTCACAACAAGGACACCAGGAAGGAAGGACCCACCACAGTGCTCTGTACTCTCTGCCCATTATCTGCAGGATCAGCAGGGTGCTGCAGGTGGGTTAGCTACCCCAAAATGCATGGCAATGCACCGGAGAAGTAGCACACCCCGAACTAGGTTCTCATAACTGTACATAGGCACTTAGACTCAGCACTTGTTTGGAAGCGGTGGGAGCCACAGATAAGCAGTGCTACACCTGGGCTAGCGATCTCTGCCTTTCTGCCCAGCTCACGGGTCTTCAACTTCAGTGTCCTGAGGCTGTGCCCTGTTCTCATGCAGCCTCGAGGAACGGGTCTGGGTCTGGGCCTGGACACGGCCTGCCCTCGTGTGCCCCAGCATCAAGCACACCCCGCGGGGACACCGGAGGCGAGTCAGCGCTTGCGGGCAAGGCCTTTCACACGAGACCGCGGAGTGCTGGCGGGGGCTTGTCTCGTCTGCTGCCACGCGGCGGGGGTCTGGGCCCGACCCTGCTGCCCCCGTCCAGGCCCCTGGCAGGCCGAAGCGGGCCAGCGCCACAGGTCCCGGCCTCCGCCCTTCCCTTCACCTCCGGGGGAGCGCCCGGCCCTGCGGGCTGGCCAGGCTCCCTCCGGCTCGGGGACTTTCTCCACGGGGACCGGGCCCGAGGCGGGAAGTTGGCCGGGCTCCGCCCCGCCAGGTGCGCGGGGCGGGCAGGTGAGCCAGGCGCCGCGTGACGGGGCGGGGGGAGTTGGGCAACTTTCAGTTTCGGGCATTGTGGGAAGCGCGATGCGCGGCCGGGACTGGGGCCGGGGTCGCACCGGCCACTGAGGCGCGGCGGCGGGGTGGGGGCTGCTCCCGCGCCCGGGGCGCCATGGTGAGTACGGCCGGGCTGCGCTCCGCGGCGGCGGGAAACTTTCCTCTTGGGCCCGGGAGCGGCGGCCGCCCGGCGGGGAGGAGGCCAGTGCAGCGGCTGGGAGATGAGCCAGGCACTGACTCGGCGACGCCGCTGGCCAGGTGCGGGATTGAGCCTTTTTATAAAAGGCACGGGGCGCCGGCGAGAAAAAGTCGCCGTGGTCGGAAGAGGCCGGTGCCCTCAGTCTCCGGGTGCTTCGAGCTTCGCCGCCGGCTCGTCTGGAGGCGCCTCAAACCAGCTCAGCTGCCGCCTGAGCCCCTCGGACACGCCGGGCTTTTGTGTCGGTGGTGTCCGTGCCTGGGCTCCTACAGCCCGGCCTGGCTTCGGGGTTTGTTTGGTTTGCTGCTTTTTTTTTTTTTTTTAGTGGCAGCTAGAAAGTTTGCCGGGCTGTGAGCTAGAGGAGGGGCGGTACAGGGATGGTTGCCAAGCCGTGAGGCTGCAGGGGTTGAGCGGGGCCATTCACGTGGAGA